AACCGAGACGTTGCATTATTCACTAGATTCATCGCTTTGGAATAACCCAATGACGTTAACATTGCAGAATACACTACTACATCGTACATTAAAAATATTGATATATTCCTTCAATTAATCAATAAATAAGCAGAATATTTAAATATTTGTCATATGCTTTATATATAAACATTAAATTTGATATTCCAAACATCAATAATAAAGAAATTAGAATATTCATGTCATATGTAATTTCAAATGCATAAAATTTTGAATTAAATCAAACAGATCAGCCTATTGGTTTGCTTACGTGTCCTTTGATGCATTTTATATTATACGAACTGATTAATCTACAAGGGTAGCCCATAAGTCAGTTAACCGAGACGAGATTCATCGCTTTGAAATAACCCAATGACATTAACATTGCAGAATACACTACATCGTACATTAAAAATATTGATATATTCCTTCAATTAATCAATAAAGAAGCAGAATATTTAAATATTTGTCATATGCTTTATATATAAACATTAAATTTGATATTCCAAACATCAATAATAAAGAAATTAGAATATTCATGTCATATGTAATTTCAAATGCATAAAATTTTGAATTAAATCAAACGGATCAGCCTATTGGTTTGCTTACTTAGAGGGGAAAAGAAGGAGAAAGAAGAGAAAGAGTTCAAGAGGGGGGAAGGAAGACGAGAAGAGACAGGTAAGAAGAGGAAAGAGGGAAAAGAAGGAATATAGCAAGAAAAAGTAGAAGTTAAGAGAGAGAAGAAAGGAGAACGAAAGGGAGAAGGGAAGAATAAGAAAAGAGAGAAAAGGCAAGAGGGAAGAGGAGAAAGAAGAGAAGGAGAAAAGAGAGATCAATTAAATATACATCATTAAATTATAACATTTTAAATAATCATAGTAGAAAGTTATACCTGTCGTAAACAAGGTCAATTTTATGTGAAGACAATAAAGCAAGCGAATTATACTAGCTTTTTTTCTTTTTCTTTTTTTAAATGATTGCTATCCCTTAGAGATAGATGAAACGTTCAGACAGATTCACACTTATTTTTTTGTAACTTCTGCTTCTAACAATCAATAGAATCAGGGTTTGAAAGAGGTAAGGAGAAATCTGAATTAGTCCCAAATATGCAGCTTAGTCTTTTTGTAAGTCATAAAAAATATGAAAAATCAATTAAAATAAATTTACATTATTTATACAATGTGTTTTCTACATAAAAGTTTTCTGCTTTCGGGCAACAATTGATTTTGATTGACCCGTCTACCTAGGCATTGATATAGCAGTAATTACTAAACTAAGCTTAAATCTGGAATTATACTAAAATAAAGGGAGAAAAATATTACATTTTAATCTAAATTAATTGAGTTATTAAAATGATTTAATGAAGCAAAATTAAAATTTATTCCTCATTATTCAATAGTAATATCTGATAAACAGGTAGAATATAAAGTAATATATTCTTTTAAACTTTTAATTCAGAAAATTATTAAATATATATTCCCTTAATTCCAATATAATGCTTAATATTATTTATTTTTACATAATTTTAGAAATATTATTTGTTTATGAATAAGAATTCAAAAGGTCAAGAGTCAGCAAAAGGTCAAAAATTTTACATAAGCTTATAAATTTAAAATTTGTTTCCCTAGAATAAATTTTATATTTTTATTTCCCATAAATTTTAAATATGTTCTTTTAAAAATTCAGCAACCAGTTGTGTAATTTACCAGCAGAAAAAAAACCCTATTACATAACCTAAAAGTTGAAAAATATATATATATGACTCCATTTGTTATGATATAATACGTTAATAATGAGAAATGACTTCTATGTTTCCAGTGTTATATATATAACAGCCAAACATTAAGTAAAATTTTAAACAACAGATGGCACTAGGAACAAAACACCCCTCAACTAAACTCTTTTATTAACTTTACGTTAGAAAACTTACTCTAATCACTTGAAATTCGTATATAATATGCATAAAAATAACTTACCAGTATCTCTTATAGGTTGAAGTTGACTAAGTACAGATATGGGTAGCATACAAAGAAGGGAAGCTGCCCAAACCACTCCAATCATCCTATAGGCGTGTGACAACGTTTGCCATTCTCTAGATTTTAAAGGGTGACAAATGGCATAGTAGCGCTCGATAGACATGGCTACTAATGTCCAAGCACTTACACTCACCGACACGGCTGAAAGAAAAAATAAATAAATAAATACATAAATAATAAAATATATGTAAACATTTGAAGCTATTCTTCAGAACAATAGCTTCAAATGGGTTTTATATAACAGAAGGGAGGTATCTTGTCAAAGAAAAAAAAAATGGTTTCCAATATTTTGACATTTTTAGACTAAGAGAACCTTGAAATGCATAAACAAATTAGGGATTTTTTTCTGTATGTATGGTTGTTAGTGTGTGTATGGGGGTACGATTTTGTTCACTCAATTTAAAGCTTAATAACTCCTGTGCATTTTGTCGAACATTTCTGAAATTTTGCAGGGAAGTTTGTGTATTAGGAGCATTGACGTTGTTAAATTTTGGTGGTTAAAGGTCGAGAAAATGGGGAGATAGAATATTCCTTCAATTAATTCAATTGATATATTCCTTCAATTAATCAATAAATAAGCAGAATATTTAAATATTTGTCATATACTTTATATATAAACATTAAATTTGATATTCCAAACATCAATAATAAAGAAATTAGAATATTCATGTCATATGTAATTTCAAATGCATAAAATTTTGAATTAAATCAAACGGATCAGCCTATTGGTTTGCTTACTTAGAGGGGAAAAGAAGGAGAAAGAAGAGAAAGAGTTCAAGAGGGGGGAAGGAAGACGAGAAGAGACAGGTAAGAAGAGGAAAGAGGGAAAAGAAGGAATATAGCAAGAAAAAGTAGAAGTTAAGAGAGAGAAGAAAGGAGAACGAAAGGGAGAAGGGAAGAATAAGAAAAGAGAGAAAAGGCAAGAGGGAAGAGGAGAAAGAAGAGAAGGAGAAAAGAGAGATCAATTAAATATACATCATTAAATTATAACATTTTAAATAATCATAGTAGAAAGTTATACCTGTCGTAAACAAGGTCAATTTTATGTGAAGACAATAAAGCAAGCGAATTATACTAGCTTTTTTTCTTTTTCTTTTTTTAAATGATTGCTATCCCTTAGAGATAGATGAAACGTTCAGACAGATTCACACTTATTTTTTGTAACTTCTGCTTCTAACAATCAATAGAATCAGGGTTTGAAAGAGGTAAGGAGAGATCTGAATTAGTCCCAAATATGCAGCTTAGTCTTTTTGTAAGTCATAAAAAAATATGAAAAATCAATCAAAATAAATTTACATTATTTATACAATGTGTTTTCTACATAAAAGTTTTCTGCTTTCGGGCAACAATTGATTTTGATTTACCCGTCTACCTAGGCATTGATATAGCAGTAATTACTAAACTAAGCTTAAATCTGGAATTATACTAAAATAAAGGGAGAAAAATATTACATTTTAATCTAAATTAATTGAGTTAT